GCATAAAGCAGAAACTCACCTATAAAGGCCTGGTGATGGTTTCGTAGAAGGGTCTGGAGGCCGCCCGTTACCAGCTTTAAATCCTGCCTCATGTCAGGAGTTAACATGGCACTGGCTGCGCTTAAAGAAAGCTGACCTGTAATGCAGAACAGATGAGTATCAGGCATAGACCGGATATATAGTGAAATTGGACGCCATTAGGGGTATTCAAAAACATGCCACTGTGATGCAGGATGAAATGTGTATCGACTTCAAGGATGCTTAGTTCCCAAGCTCCTGAGGCGGGAGTACGGATTTTAAACAGACAACTGAAATCCACATTGTACTGATTAAGAGCGTTCGCTATCAGAATTTGGGTACTAAGGTCTAGGGATGTTCGCAAATTCTTGCATTCCATATAAAGACTACATTCCCGATGGAGGAGTCCAGCTCGTACCACCGGGACAGGAGTGGAGAAAGCACAGGTTCCCATGGATGTCGTAGCACGAATCGAATACTCTACCGTATTAAGTTTTTCTGACCAATACCCTGTACGAGGTTGGCGTCTAAGCGGTGGATAATTGCATAAAAGATCCACCTTTATTTCCCATTGTGCAAAAGCGTCTGACGAACTGCTGACTCACTCTTCATATGATTATAGTTTGCCTAGTCCCTCATTCGCTTGATCCGCAGTATAGATTACAGAAGTCATAAGCCTAAAACAGCCCGCAAGACATGTAAGTTTCTTTAGTTACAATTGAGAGAATTTGTAAGGTAGTTACGTAGGTAAGAGAAATGGAACAAGCCTGTTGGCGGCAAAGTGTAGGCTGCCACACTACCTACCTCCTGGGTTCCACCAACGCTGATCAAGTGTCTGTACTTTTTGGTCTTCAGACACAGTCAAGCCCAGATCGCGTAGGTGCTGAACATCGGGTTTTACTTCTAGCACCCTTTGAAAGACGCCAAGGCAGATCAGATCACGATCAGTCAGCGAGAGGTTGGGCATCTGACGACCATCATCGCTGGGCCGCGGTACAAACGTAGTTGTGCTGTTGGACGAATCGCCGCAGCTGCGTGAGGGACTCGCACGAGATTCGAGTTCGAGAAGTTTGTTAACATGCTCCAGGCGCTGGGGGTGCGTGAGGTGTTTGGCGTGCTGACGGCCTAAGAGACAGAGCTGAGACAGGTTTGGACTGTAAACGAATGCGGCACAGATCATACCCTTTTAGTGGACGGAATGCGCAAGATATCCAGTTCAGGTTCAAAGCCGCAGATGCGAAACACATCCTCTAGGTAGCGGATGTAGCGTCGATAACGACCACGCCAAAAGCTCTCTTCAACTGGCTGACTGTGCTCCTCTGCGGACTCTGTAGTAAAGGCTGAGGAATGCCGCAGGTAACCAGTCAGCTGCCGGTATACTCCATCCTTTAGATGCTGACTGTAGTGTCCATCGTTGAATTTCTGATATAAACTGAAGGGACAGCAGGGTATTGTGAAGACCTGACAGTCGGCATTCGACTTGGTGGCAAGGATTGGTAGCCACGGAGTAAGTTCGTCACTGTGGTTACCAATCAGAAGTGTTGCTTGTGGAAATCCGGGGTGAGTGGAGGGGTCCAAAGTCTCCTCCTAAAATAAGCAAATATTAGCAACAAAATTATAGGTTAATGGACAAGCTTTGTAGGGAATCAGCAGAACTTGCTTCGTGAGTAGTGATGCTTCAGCCAAGGAACTATTTTAGTCCAAAAGTAGCCCTTAGGTACGCGGCATTGCTGCTCTGCCGTCGGGACAGTAAAAATAGGAACATTCCACCTTGGAAGAGTCGCT